CTGCGGCTGCTCTTCAGAGGATCTTCCCAAGACAAAGAAACCCGGTGTTTAGCTAAAACAGGCGACGCATTTCCGATCTGAGGAGGCCACATCTGGAGAGCTGGGTCCCCCCGCTACAGGCAGCGCAGAGTCCAGGGGAGGGCAACGAAAGTGGCTGGGGGCCGGGGCACATGACTTGTGAAGACACGTTGTCGCAGGAGGGCCAATGCAGTGCTGAGGGACCCAGGGAAACAAGCAGGAGGAAGGACCCGTGGGATCACAGGCATGAGTGACTGGCGCCTCCTGAATCCGGGGGCACCTGCAGAAGCCGCCGACAGTGGCAGCCCTGTCAGGGGGGGACCAGCCCTACCGATAGTATCAGTGGTGGGCGTCGGGGGGGGGCACATGCTCCCCCTACCAGTCGCCTATGATCAGAGACCTGGTGGGACTCCACCTACGACTGGCCCATAGGCCCTGTATAGGAGGGATCATGTTGGGAAGGAGGGTGGTGGATTTGCGCTCTATGTGCAGGAACATTACATCTCCCTTGAAGCAACAATTGGAAACACAGAAGGGCGACTTGAGACCTGCGGGGTCGAGATACAGGGAGAGCACGGGGAAGGGGATTTGACCGTAGGAGTTTTATCACAGACCTCCAAACCAAGAGGAACAGCTCGAGCAGGAATTCTCTAGAGAAGTGGCAGAGCTGCACACTCAGAGCATGGTCATCATGGGTGACTTCAACTACCCAGACATCTCGTGGGATGAGCACTCGGCTAGATCCGATTGCTCACAAAGCTTCCTCGCTTGCGTGGAGGAGCTCTACCTAACAACAAGGGCAGCCAGGGGCAAGGCACTCCTAGACTTGGTTTTGGCCAAAGGGGATGATCTAGTGAGCAAACCGAGGATTAAAGGGAAACTGGGTGGCAGTGACCATATGATCACTTTCTCCATCCACTGTAAGTCAGGGAAATTGGCCAGTAAAATAGAAATCCTTGATTCTAGGGAAGCTGACATCCACAAACTTAGGGGATTGGTTGGCATGGCCCTGCGGGACCATGGTCCAATGAAGAAGGGTGTACAAGAAGAGTGGTTGTTCCTCAAGGAAGCAATCCTAGAAATTCAAACAAAGTCCATTCCCTTTTGTAAGGCAGCAAAAGGGCTGGGGGACCCCCTTCGCTCAACAGGAAAGTCATGGGCCTCCTGAAATTAAAATGAGAAGCCTGCAAAGGATGGAAGTTAGGAATAACTACCAAAGAGGAGTATTCAGCAACAGCTCACATCTGTAGGGAGCAGATCAGGATAGCAAAAGCACAAACAATACAAATTGGCAACTGGAATCAAGGACAACAAAAAGTCCTTCTTTAGATATGTAGGAAGTTGGAGAAAAAATAAGGGAAGCATAGGAGCCCTGAAGAATGACATGGGACGGTTGATAACTGACACTCAGGACAAAACTGAACTCCTGAATTAATACTTCATGTCAGTTTTCCACCAGTCTAAGGGTGTTAGCTTGCTTGACAGCACACAGGATGATCATGGTGGGGATGACCACCCACCCCTAGTTGGTGTAGATCTTGTGGGGGAGCACCTACAAAAGGCTAAATATCTGGAGAAAAGAATCCATTACAGACAGGCTAGCAGAAGGCAGCAGTCTGAAGGATAGCCAACATGGCTTTGTTATGGGCCGGTCATGCCAGACCAACCTCATTTCCTTCTACGATCAGGTTACTTGCCACCTGGATGGGGGAAATGAGGTTGTTGTCATCATATACCTGGACTTCAAAAGGCTTTTGACCTGGTCATCCACAAAGTCCTCATGAAAAAATTGGGGGAACGTGGTCTCGACTACTTTATAGTCCAGTGGCTACTACTTTTAGGTAACTGGCTCCATGGCAGGACCCAGAGAATATCGATTGATGGAACTGAGTCATCACAGCAGAGGATGACCAGTGGTGTCCCTCAGGGTTCGGTACTCGGACCAGTGCTTTTCAACATGTTCATCAATGATTTGGATTTAGGTATTAAAAGTGAACTGGCAAAGATTGCTGATGACCCCAAACTATGGGGGAGCATGGCCACTCTTGTGGACAGGCTGGCAATACAGGCCGACCTGGACAGGCATGCGAGGTGGGCAGACCTCAACCTGATGTTGTTTAATACAGACAAATGTAAAGTGCTCCATCTGGGGAGAATTTTTTTTTTTAATATAATTTGTATCCAAGGCCATATTAGCCAAAACTAATTCCAAATCCAAGAGTCCAGAACCATAAGTGGCCCCACTACCGGCAAACATCTTCCACTGCACCTGGGGCTTTGGATGTTTCCAAACCCTTTGGCAGGCATCCTACTTGCAGGCCCAAGGCCAGAGGCTTGGGGTTTGGATGCCCCCAAGTTTTGCTTGCCCTTAGCCATAAAGGCCTCGGAGCAAGCAAGGGAGGAGACTCCTATTTCCATAAACTGGGCTTAAAGCCACTGTACCTTGGCAGGTACTGAACCACGCCAGAAGAGCAGTTCTCCCGTGAGGCGGTTCAGGAAAACTGCCTTCTTGGACACAGATACATGGTATTTCCCCGGCCAGTTTAAGAAGCCACTACACTTGATCTGAGCCTTCAAGAGGCTGAGAAGCGATAACCTGCCCAGGGCCGGAGGGGGAGTGGGACAGATTACATTTTATTAGTAGATGTTAAGAGTCATGACCCAAAAAATGACAAAGCCAGAAAGAAAATACACCCAAGTGAGGGACTAACATAGGAGGGATGGGGGTGAGGAGGGGAACACACCTAGGTTACAGAAAATATGTTAGCCAACTAAGCCTGGGGGTGGGGGAAAGGGAGGGAGGGGGGTTGCGATGCTGAGAGAGAGAGAGAGAAAACAGGTGCACACAAACCCATACAATGTCTGCAATGGTGGAACATTGTACAGGTTGATCTGAGCCTTCAAGATCTGACTTGATCTGAGCCTTCAAGAGGCCATCTGAGGAGAAATAA